ATCATAACTTTTCTAAACCGTTCAAACCATGTTCTTGGAGACTGCTTTAATCCGTATAAGACCCTTTTTAATTTGCAAACTTTTCTTTGTGTCCTCTCATCTTCAAATCCATGTGAAATTTTCATGTATACCTTTTCCTTTAAGTCTTCATGAAGGAATGCATTTTTTACATCAAACTGTTGTAAATCCCAATCAAAGATAGTTGCGCAAAACAAAAGTATTCTAATTGTGTTCCTCTTTGCAATAAGTGCAAATGTCTCCTAATAGTCAATTCCATAGGTCTGAGTAAATTATTTAACCACCAATCTATCTTTACACATTTCAATCGATCTGTCTGCTTCGTGTTTTATGGTGAACACCCATTTACAATCAACTATCTTCTTTCCCTATGAAGGTGAAACAAGTTCCCATATTTTATTTTTTTTTCAGTACTCTCATTTCTTGAATCATGACTTCCTTTCACTTGGGATCTTCTAGAGCCTTTCTCCAATCTTGTGGAATAGACACAAAGGAAACAGATAAGACAAAAACTCTATAGGATGGAGATAAAGAGTCATAGGAAACAAAATTACATATAGGATGCTTAGTACAAGTTTTCGTTCCCTTTCTAATAGCAATAAGTTTATCTGATAAATCACAAGAGAAAGATAACTCACCAGTATCTTCTGTAACTAAAGAAGATTTTTGACCTGGGACAGGCTGCATGACGATTTTTTCTGACTTATCTCTCCTTGAGTACCTTTTATCAAATCTGATTTATTCAGAAGTCCAACATTATCTTCTTGATTAAGACCTTCTGCAACTGAACTCTCTCCCCTGAATACGACTCTCAATAGTTACCTAATTAGGTATCACTTATTCTTTCTCACTCTCTCCCTGAAGAAGTGTTGGGTTTGAGTTGAAGTAAGACTCAGTTTTTCTAAAGGTAACATTCATAGTTACAAAGTATTTTCTAAATAGTGGATGATAAAACTTGTAGTCTTTTTGGGTAGAAGAATATTCAACAAATACACACTTAAGAGCTCTAGGTCCTATCTTCCCCATATTTTTAGCATGAACAAAGCACATACATTCAAACACGTTTGGGAGAACAATGTATGAACTTTTTCCTTACAAAACCTCCATATGGCTTTTAAAATTCAGAACTCGCAAAAGCCTTCTATTGAAAAGATAGACAGTTGAAAAAACTGCATCTCCTCAATAACTATTCGGTAGATTCATTGTGAACATTAATGACCGAGCTACCTCCAGCATGTGTCTATTTTTCCTTTCAGCAGCCTTATTTTGTTAACTAGTATAAGCACAATTTGTCTGATAAATTATCTCATTTGACTCTAAGTAAGCATGAAACCTACTATTTCATATGTTTTATATCATTGTCAATTCTTATAATCTTAACTTTGACATCAAATTATGTACATATCATTTTATAAAATGATTGAAAACATGAAAATACATCACCTTTCGCTTTTAACAAATAAATTCATGTTAATCTAGTACAACAGTCAATAAAAGTAACAAACCATTTATAATCAGAAAGAGATGTATTCTGAGTAGATCCCCACACATCAAAGTAAATAATCTTAAAATGATCAGTACTTCTATTAGTACTTAAATGATAAGAACTCCTCTTTATGTTTAGCAAGTTTACATGCATCACAAAACAAAAACGTCATAAAAGTTTCTTTTAAATAAACTAAAATATAATTTTTCTAAAACAAAAAAGGATGTTTCAATCGTTAGTGTCATTGTAATATTTTCATATTAACTTTTTTATTTCCAATAGTGGCTTGATTTCCAATTAATTTCTGGTGCCTATTCAAGATATATAAGTCATCTTCCAGTCTACCAATGTCAATTCTCTTCCTGATTTTAAGATTCTAAAAAATACAATAATTAGAAAAAAATTCAATTTTACAGTTAAGATATCTAATTATGGCTCTAATAAATAAAAGATTGTTAGAAAAACTAAGCACATGTAAAACTGAAGATAGTGTAATAGCACGAGTACAATTAATAGAACTTGTTCCAGACACAGGGGTGTATGACTCGTTTACTATACAGACATTTTCTCATTCAATACAAGAAGAATAAGTTAAGAATTCTTTAGAAGAGCTTGTCATGTGTCTGTTAACTCCAGAATTTATAATCCAACTATCAGGAATGGAAATAGAAGAGAGATGAACAATACCTAATTTTACCATATTTAATGTGTCAGCAGTTGATGGAGAGTTAAGTTAACTCAGAAAGTGCTTTAGATTTTGAATTTCTTCTGTAGAAAAAGCTTCAATGGATGGTGAACCAGATGTATCCCTAACTTCAACAAAATTTATTTGAGCTCTTGTGGTTCCACCTTTTCTTCCTTCCTGACCTCTAATTGGTCTTTAATGCAAATTTCAACAAGTTTTCTTAATGTGTCTTGACTTACCACAATAGTCATACTTCTATATATTTCTGAATTGATCAAATTGAGCAACTAATTCAGCCCTCTCGACTAGTGCAATGTGAAGCATGACATTTCTTCTACTCTATTCTTGCTGGATATAAACATAAGTTTGTTCTAATGAAGAAAATGAATCCTTAACAAGCACTTAGATCTGTATTTGATCATATTCGGTGTTCAAACCAGTTAAAAAATTATACATTTGCTCTTTTTCTATCAATTTCTGAAATTTAACTGCATTTACATAATACTCTGCTTGAAAATCTTAATAGTAATTTAACTTCTGCCATAATTTATTCAGTTCAAAAAAATATTGAGAAATAGTCATCTCTTTTTATTTTATGTCATGAACTTTATTCCGGATTTCATAAATTTGGGTGTCATTACCCATCTGTGAATATGTAAGACATGCTGCATTTTATATTTTTTAGGCAATTTTAAACAAAAGATATGTTCTGCTAGTATGAGGTTGCATGAAATTTATGAGTCATGGCATTACCAATGAGCTCTCAAAGTCTCATCCATTATATTTTAAATTACCAACATCTAGTTTCTTCACCTTCCCAGTAATGTAACATTACAATCCTCTAGATTTAATGAACAATAAACAAGATCTCGACCAAAAAAGATGATTAGTTTCATCAAGTTTTACGAGACTGATTTGTAATCAAGGATTATCAAAACTAGTAATACTCACCTTTTTTACTTTTGTTATCTTAGAATGCTAAAAATAAGAAGAAAAATACCAATAATAAAAATGAACCTCCAAATACGCATCAATGAGCCAAAAAAGGACCAAAAAACTTGAAAAATGACAAAAAAACCGGAACCATATCTGACTCAACTTAGCTCGACTCGGCTCGACTCAGCTCAGCTTTGGCTCGGATGCAGACAGCTCTGCTTAGGCGCGGACAAACCAGGTCAAAATGGTCCGACGCGTGAAATGGCCACACCAGACGTCCCGTGCACAGAAAAGTGAACTAGCGTAAGGGGCTCTATCCGGTCAATGCAGCACGACTCAATGTGTGTCCAGAGCAGCGTGGTGTGCAAAAGGATCAATCGACCCGTTTTCAAACACGAATCAGTCGGATCGGAGTGGCGGAGGGCGCAGAATAGCAGATCTTCCGACCACACGCAGCCGCATGAAAAAATATCGGATGATCACAATCAAGCCGGATTTTGTGCAGAAAGGAACCAGATTTGTCTCAATCGGGCTTTTCTATGGGTATTCCACCATTTTTCAGGCCGAATGTGACGAAACCGACAACACGTGTGGCTAATGTGGCTCTGTTGCCGGCGGCGTGAGTGGTTAACGCGCGCGAAACTGTAGCTGTTCTACCTTCTTTCTTTCCTCATTTCAGAAACTGTGCTTCTTCTAACTGATTCTTTTCTCCCACTAAATTAGAACTAATTAAATCTCGAAATTTCATAACATAGTCCCCACTCCATTAACTTCCTCTATATTGAAAAAGAAAACAATATTTAAGTATTCAAAAAAGTGAAAGCACCAAAAATATATATAAGCTATACAAATTAAAATTTACAGATTCAATCTTCAGAAAACTGGTGGGTATGACTAAATGAGTTTGAACCAAATATTTTCAAGTTTCGCCGAGAAGTAAATCTGATTTTTCCTTTATTACACCTAAACACTAAAGTCAAAATTCAGAAAGTTTCAAATAAAGTTTTATTTGTTGTAAAACTAACCGTTCTCTTCCTTTTAATGAGAGCTACCATTCACTTCAAATGAAATCTAAGTATCATGAATCTAAAAATCTCTATTTAAATCAAATAGAATCATGAACCTAAAAATCTCTACTAAAATCAAATAGTAATTAAATAAAGCAAAAATCTTATGTTTTAATTATCAATAATACAAAAAGTTTAGCACACAAAACCTACAAAATAATCATAATCTTGCTTCCAAGAGCAATAGATGAAGTACTACAAAAAGAATATTTAAAGGTTGCTAAAGGTGAGATTTTAGTAATGAATTCCTCATATCTGTTGAAAGCTAGCATGGCTTCAAATGAAGGAATAACTTGAGCTAAGAACTCTTTGCTATCCAAAAGAGTAGTTTGAGTGCAAGATACATAGATGAAATATCATACTAACACGGAAGACGAAAGATTACTAACTTCAAAGTTGGCAAGTCTACCTCAGGAAAGTTGGCAACTTTTGCAGGATTTGGTTTGCCCATGAAAAGTTTGAAAGCTTTTTTCCCTGCTAAAGTAATAGTTCTTTCATCTGATGAATCACATGAAGGTAACCCACTGCAGCAATGATCAGTTTAGCATCATAATGATGCATAACAAAAATAGATATGATAATAAAACAATACCTAACAACAACTTGACATGACAAAAGTAAATATCAGCATCATACAACAATATGTAAGTTTTTATGGAGTTCAAATACTAAAACACCAGAGTAAGAGCAACCAGAACCTACATAAATATATAAGAAGCACGATAATGAATAACACGAACATATAATAGGAATAAGTAATCAAGTGCAAGGGATCAACTTTTTTTATAGAAAAAATAAATTGTTATTAGTAATAAGAAGAGATAAACTACAATGGTAGAGAATAAAATATTCTACTAGAGATTTGAATGAAAGAGTTTTTAAAGAAAAATATGTTACAAAATGGTTTGGAAACTGGGTCCCAAAGGTCAAACTATTATCAAACTTCTGATTTCAAGAACGGAGACAAAAATATCTGAAAATGTCTCATTGGATTTCAACTTATATAATATAACATATTGAAAGCATGCTTCAGAAGTTGACAAAAATCTACCAAACTATTAAAAACATAAAATTGCACACATCCTTTTAAAACATAGAATTCTATGGATCCGAATTCACTGTTGATCCAATGGTACATTACCAAGAAATACTAGAGACACATAAGCTGAAGGGAAAAACTTGTATGCATTATACAACCATTGTAGTTTGACCTACACCTAGAGTTCCAACCAAAATCTCAATGATGTTGGCATCTTTTGCCATCTCTACTAGGTAATATCTACATGAATTGTTACTCAAGTAAATCCAAGAATGGTGTATAAAAAAGACCATTGGTACATCCAGTCGACAGAATGTGCACCGAAAAGGCAAATGATTTAACATACAAAAAAACAGAATCCAAACTTCAAAAAGAGTGAATAGAAATCAAACGAGACAGACAAGGATGACTGTTGAAAATAATACCTACGCTTAAGAATCTGTCTCTGTTGAGAAATATTTGTCACCAAATGATCTTCTGTTGCATCATACTTAACTAAAACCAACTACATAATTAAAAAAAAAAAGTAATTAAAAAAGGACGAGTAGCCATAAGAAAGGAACAAGAATATCTTACCCTATTTTTCTAATATATAATCTACTTTAATAAACTAATGACGTCTAATACATCTCAAGCAATAATAATTTGATTTTATGATTTATTTTCCAAAACACGTGACTCAAGAAAAATATCTGACCACATTGAAGCAACTATAGTTCAACTCATGGTACTGTTGTACAAATGTCAGCATGATAAATCATCTAATTTTTTCCCATTAGATGGGACTGGTTGCTGCACCAATACTGTCATCGTTAGCATGACTACTAAATGGTCCAGAGAGTCACTGCAAATTCAATGAGATGATTATAGGTATCTAATGTATCTCTTTCCCATTGACCAACTATTTTTGCAACTTCGGATTCAAAGCAAACAATCTCATCACTGCAAATTTAATTAAAAGAATGAAACAATGAAAAAGAGAAAGAAAGAAAGAAATTTTTCTACCAAACTCATATTCTACCTCTAATGCATCAATCAATTGTGTCCACAAAGTATAGGGAATATGTAGATTATGTAGTATCCGCACAGCAAATACATTTGATGAAACAAAGGAAGAAAGAATAAATTAATGAATGAAGGAAAGAATGAAAAGCTGGGTAAAAGTAACGGGTGAGTTTTTGACTTTTCCTGGTGGTGGGACCTGGGACCCAGTTCATACATGCGCTCTTCATTACACTGATTACATTCAGCAGGTAAATATTTACAAATATCATAGTAAAATCTGTTTTACTAATTTAATTATAAGCAGTAATTTCTTTTTACCGTCAAAATATAAAAATTTTAAAGATTAAATTAATTCTTGGTTTACAGTCTGTTCCGGCAATTAAATGGGGAAAACATACGCGATCAATTCTGGACGTTGGGTGTGGTGTAGCAAGTTTTGGAGGTTACTTGTTTGAAAGAAATGTCCTGACAATGTCTTTTGCACCAAAAGATTAGCATGAGGCTCAGGTTCAATCTGCACAGGAAAGCGGAATTCCTGCCATTTCCAGCCAGAGTCTTTGATCTCTTTCACTGTGCACGTTGCAGAGTTCCCTGGCACAATGAAGGTCCTTACATAACATTTATATAGTCTTAGTATTAGAGCTTACTTGTTCTTCGTTCAAGTCTGATGAAGAAACTGTTCATAGGCGGTCTGCTTCTTTTGAAGGTTGACAGAGTTCTGAGACCTGGAGGTTACTTTGTCTGGTCTGCTACCCAGTGTACCAGCAGCTGGAAGAAGATGTGGAAATCTGGAAGGGTAAGATTACTAGAAACATGATCAAGTTTGAAATATAGTTTATTAAGTTTTTGAGCTTCGAGACTAACGGTCAAATACCATTTTTTATCCTAGCAATGCCTGCATTGACAAAATCCATGTGTTGGGAACTTGTGACAATCAAAAAGGATAAGCTCAATGGCATAGGTGCTGCTATCTACCATAAACACACTGACTGCTATGATAAAAGAGAACAGAATCAACCTCCAATGTGTAAAAACGATGATGACCCTAATGCTGCATGGTATGATTAATTCAAGGTTCCATAGCTTTGTTCATGAATACAGAGAAAACTCATTATAGCATGCTGTATTTTCAGGTATGTACCGCTGCAAGCATGTATGCATAGAGTGCCTACTAATCCAACTGAGAGAAGGACCATAGGTTAGAGACACCTTCTTACTGGGTAAACAGTTCTCAGATGGGAATTAATGGGAAACCAGCTCCTCAAGATTTCTCAGCAGATTATGAACACTGGAAACAAGTAGCGACCAAGGTATAAATGAATGCATTAGGAACCAGCTGGTCCAATGTCAAAAATATAATGGACATGAGAGTTGTTTATGGAGGATATGGAAAAAGATAGATGCTAAGTATGCATCCGAAAGATCAAACTGTGAGACAATCAGCAAAAGAATGAGATAGAGTATACTTAATGCATGCAGGTTTTGTACTTTCTTTTCTCTCTTTTTGTTTTTGTTTCTTATGGTTGGAGCTAATCCTCTCCTTTCTCATAAACTCTCTGTCTCTTCAATGTTGTTCTTTTATCAAAAAAAAAAAATGGATTTTATTTATAATTAGTGGAAAAAGTGAGCACACACAGAAAGATGATGCATTTCTTAAAACAACTGTAGATTAGAGATCCACGTCTGTTACCTTTCCAACATTTAACTTGTAGTCAAAACTTATATTTTAACTGAAGCACCATCCACCCAGATGGACAATGGACAAGCTGCTCAGCAACTCTGACATTGTCACACCCTATGTCTTTACAGGATGCAATGAAAATATCGACCATAATTTTATGCTTTCCTCCCAACAGAATTAAATGAGTTGATTAAGCAAATAAATTATATATATAAGAAAGTCATCAATAATAAGATTTACCTGCACACCATTTGTCACAACAGCTAAGCACAATGGGGAGACCTCTGGCAACAAATTTATACTCCTGGCATCCCCTTCTCCACGAAGTTATAACAACATTTTGTAACCTGTTTCCATGTTCCTCTAACCACGGCAGCATGGCATCTTGCTGTTGATCACCAATTAAATCGTGCACAGATCTTATCAATGCATTAGGTACACATGGCAACACTTCTCCAAGATTTGGAAGATTCCTTGTGCCAACATACAGTTGCCCATCACTATAGTTTAGGAAAAAATACTTTCACCAGATGTGGGAGACTCTGCCACAGCAATGTACAAAACATTGATGGAGTTTCCATGTAAGCTAAGATTCAGAACTACTAAACACACGTTTTTACTGTAAATATGAAAAAAATGAGGAAAGAAAGAAGGTATAAAGAAAATTTTCTATGCAAATTCATATTTAAATAAAGAAGGTAGAAGAAAAGAAACAAAGAATGAAGGAAAGAGAAGAAAAGAAAAGCCTGGAAATCAGTCCAAGGATGACTGCAAATTCAAAAGAAAAAGGAAATCGTTTTGTTATTAGCAATGGAATTTTTTGTTAACGAAAAAGATAAGAAAATAAAGAAAACCATAATGAGTTTCTTTTCCTCACGGATGATCGAAAATCATTTGGATAGATAAAAGAAGAACATAAAAAATCAACGTGAATCCTTTTTCTTGGAAACCAAACATCTCTAAAAGTAAAAAGAAAATGAATTTGTCTCGATTGCAGCCAAAAAGAGGATTGAAAAGTTTAGAAACAAAGGAAAACTGAAGTGCATTTTTTTTCTCCAAACAAATTAAAGACTGAGAACTAAAGCCGAATTTGGAAGACGACCAGAGTCTGTAATCGGCTTCAAATTACCGAGTTTTGGTGCCTCTTGCTCATTGATGGAGTTTCCATCCAAGCTCAGATTCAGAACTACTAAACACACGTTTTTATTGTAAATATGAAAAAAAAAAATGAGGAAAGAAAGAAAGAAAAAAAAAAAGAAAAGAAAGAAAGCTTTCTATGCAAGTTCAAATTTAAATAAAGAAGGTAGGCAAAAAAAAAAAGAAACAAAGAATGAAAGAAAGAAAAGAGAAGTATGGAAATCAGTCCAGGGATGAATGCAAATTCAAAAGAAAAAGAAAGTCACTTTGTTATTAGCAATCGAATCTTTTATTAACGAAAAAGAGAAGGAAATAAAGAAACTTATAATGAATTTGTTTTCCTCACGGATAGTCGAAAATCATTTGGATACATAAAAGAAGAACATTAAAACTCTATGTGAATTCTTTTTCTTGGTAACCAAACATGCCCAGAAGTAAAAAGAAAATGAATTCGTCTCGATTGCAACCAAAAAGAGAATTGAAAAGTTCAGAAACAAAGGAAAACAGAAGCGCATTCTTTTTCTCCAAATAAATCGAAAACTGAGAACTGAAGGCGATTTCGGAAGACGACCAGAGTCAGTAGAAGGCTTCAAATTACCGAGTTTTGGTACCTCTTCCTCATTGATGGAGCTTCCATGTAAGCCAGATTCAGAACTACTAAACACACGTTTTTACTGTAAATATAAATAAAAATAAAAAATTAGAAAAGAAAGAAAGAAAAAAAAGAAAAGGAATAAGGTAGAAAGAAAGTTTTCCATGCAACCTCGGATTTAAAGAAAGAAGGTCGAAAAAAAGAAACAAAGAACGAAGGAAAGAAACGAAAAGAAATGTCTGGAAATCAGTGCAGGGATGACTGCAAATTCAAACGAAACATAAAAATCGTTGTGTTAGAAGCAATCGAATTTTTTGTTAACGAAGAAGAGAAAGAAACAAAGAATATCATAATAAATTTGGTTTCCTCACGGATGATCGGAAAATCTTTTGGATACACAGAAAAGGAACATAAAAACTCAACGTGAATCCTTTTTCTTGGTAACCAAACATGTCGAGAAGTAAAAAGAAAATGAATTCGTTTCGATCGCAACCAAGAAAGGACTGAAAAGTTTAGAAACAAAGGACAAGTGAAGTGCGTCCTTCTTCTCCTAACAAATTGAAAATTGAAAATTGAAAACTGAAGAAAATTTGAGAAGACGACTGGTAGAAGGTTTGAAATTACAGAGAGCGGCGGAGTATATATAGGCCATGTACGTTATTGCGCACGTGGCAATTTTTATTTTTATTTACTAATTACTGCGCACGTGGCAACAGGCAGATGAAATATCAGGTCACCCATCCGTGGCTCTATCAAACCAGCGGCACGTACGTTTTATCCTCCGGATCCGAAACGCTGATTTTCCCGTCGTTTTCGTGCCTCTTACGTGTTACCGCTCGCAGAGCTGAGTCAACCTGAGTCGCTAGCCGAGTCAAACGAGCGCGAGTTGGTTGGTGAGTTCTTGACTCGCTTTGAGGCTGATACACCCATCTTCTCTCCTTTCTCTGTTGCTGGGTATCCGAGATTTTCTGTTTTTGGTTGAGATAGAGAAGGGAGAAATGATAAATGTCGTTGCACGGGCATCCGAGAGGGTTATCACGTGATTTTTCTTTCTGGGTCTTGTTTGTTTCCCGAGAAAAAGGAAATGGTTCTTCTATTTCCTCCAGTTCAGGCCATTAGCTTCACTTCCATGGATATGACAAAATCAAGCGTAATGGGTTCTGTAAAACCCCATTTGCCTCAAAAGATGATGAGGATGATGAGTGAGAAAACCCGCCAACAAAAAGCTAGGGTTTCTGTCATCACTTGTGGGCTAAGAAGAGAAGGACCTAGAAAGCCTTTGTGGAGGTCAAGGGTGATATCCAGGGAGGCTATACAAGCAGTCCATGCTCTCAAATTAGCCAAGTCAGATTCTAAGTTGGAGCAAGTTTTCGAGACGAGACTCTCGAGACTACTCAAAGCTGACTTGTTGGACACTTTGGCTGAGTTGCAAAGGCAAAATGAACTGGAATTGGCTATCAAGGTCTGACTCGCTCACCTACCATGGGTTTCTTTTCTGTAATTTTTTTTTTGAAATACTTTGCTGTAATATTTTTAGGATCCTTGAATCTGCAAATTTCCTTTTTTAATGTGTTCAGGGTTGTTCATGGTTAAGCTTACTTCAGTTCCCTCATCCCCACCTTACATTTGCAATTTTTCTTGTGATTGAGCTACCGTCTCTCCACCTTAAAATGTAGAAATCGGAATTTCTGATTAGGAATTCTATAGGAAGTGAATCAAATATATGGGATAAAATAACGAGTTTCTTCTTTTGAATTGACTTGCACCTTCTAGGATGCTTTTATTTTGCTACTTGTATGGAATTGCATTTCTTTCCCTTTTCATATTGTTTCGTTCATGTGCTTCCATATCTATGGCGTAATCTTTGTAAATAAGAGAGGGCATGGTACCTGCATTAATCTTATTACCATGTCATTGGGTTTTAGGAAGGAGATATAAACTGAGATAGCTGATCACAAAATAAGAAATAATGACATTTCAGTTGCAAACTTTGCTCACTGATACCATACCAATCCTGTTTCTTTTTCTATTTTTCAATTTAAGGAATTCGCTTGAAACGATATAATTTTCATTTTAGCTATATAGGAAAAAGTTTCTCCTCCTTGTTTGTGGTCCTCCTGTCTGAAATTCTACCATGAGTATTAAATCCTGGAAATCATATCATTCAGTTTAACTTTCTGGTTCAGCTTCTGTCATCGCTTGTTTTTAAATAGATTTTCTTCATGATGTACTTTTAGCTGAAACTTTGTTTGGCTTTAGGTATTTGAGTATTTGAAGAATGAAGTTTGGTACAGACCCGATCCATCACTATATAGTAATATGATTCAGACATTGGGAAAGAACAAATTGATTGAATTCGCTGAAGAGCTTTTTGCTGGCCTGGAAAAAGAGGGCTTGAAACCTGACACAAGGACATTCACTGAGATGATTGGAGCATATTTTCAAGTGGGTGAGATAGGGAAGGCAATTGAGACATACAGAAAGTTAAAGGAATCTAGTTGTGTGCCTGATAAGCTGACCTTCACAATTTTGATAAGGAACCTTCTGAAGGCTGGAGAAGAGGAGCTTGCTGCAAATCTAAAGAAAGAATGTGCCAAATATATAGATTATCCCGAGAAATTTCTTGAAGAAATAGAGCAGAAACATGTGAGTGGCAACTGTTTTCTAATCTAATTCCTCATTGTTATATTATTTGATTTAATTTTCTTCCCATTCGTGATATGAACATAACCATGACTTGTTCAAATAGCTTATGTTGTGAACTTTGGCTTAGTTGTGTCGGTTTTAGATGAGTTTTTTTTTAATATCTACATCAACTTCATTAAGCTAATTGGATTGGAAGATCTTCACCAAGTAAAGAAACCACAAAATGAGGCAGTGCCTAAACAAATACAAATTCGTAAGTTACATATAGTGCCTCTTTAGCTAAGGCATGTATCACGTAATTACAATGCTTAGGAGTTCAATTTGAAATAAAATTTTTCTACAAATTCTTAAGGTACATATAGTGCCTCTTTAGCTAAGGCATGTGTCACGTAATTACAATGCTTAGGAATTCAATTTGGAGTAAAAATTTTCTTCTATTCATTAATTATCAAATTTTATTCCATTCTATATTCATTAGTTGTATTCAGCTTATAAAAAATCTTTTAGGAGTCCCCATCCCCATCACGTGAGTCATTCCAAGTCGTGCTGCTTCCTCTATAGCAAATAGAAGTGCTTTTGCTTCAGCTGCCTTAATGGGTATTTGGGCACACTGTTTCAAATAGATGCACGTTATATTTTAAGCCCAGTTTTCGGTGATCATACAATAACATGCACATTGTTTATCGAGTTTACATTCTTGAAAATGTTGTTGTGTTGTAGCAGTATATTTTTATCAGATGCAATATCATCTATTTGACAATGGTTTGATTCCCCGTGCATATGAGAACTATTGCTTTCTTTTTTTTTTCCGAATTGTTTGGTTTCTCGAAGTTTTGACCTGTATTCCATCCTTCAGCCAAGATGATGGCCTATCAACCTTGTGTAGAAGTTTCAAGTGTCCAAGCTGTATTCTGTCTTTGGCTATTCTCTATTGCCACTATACTTGGAAAAGGACTTTCAGTGAAGCATTGTCGATACTGATTGTTACAAGCAAATTTTGGAAGGATGAAAATTATTGATCAACAAAGTGGCTTCTGCATGGACTGTTGGATGATCTCTTGTGATGTCAATTATGCTTATTTCCGCAATTGGATGATCTCTTGATTTTCCGATTGCAGATTGACGGGCCAATTTCTGAAAGTGTCATCAAAAGATCTGTATCCTTTTTTTTTTTTTTCTGACAAACATAAGTTCTTTGGCTTGGAATGAAATGTTAGATTCTCACTACAATTTTATGTAGTTGTATTAAATTGCACATTTCAATTTCAACTGTAATAAATGCTAGTTAGTATATATTATATATTATGTACAAAATTGATCAATTCAAAACAATGTCACAATTAATTTAGAACAATTTATGCGTATTGATATACATTTCTACAATTGATTGCAATCTAATACAGATGAAAAGGTGCAGAGAGAATGTTTTGCATTATCCTTTCTATAGAACTCCATGGGGTAAAATGTTTTCTTTGAACTCCATTCAAGAACTCAAAAATCAATACAAAAAAGGGAAGAATTCTCTATTTCCTCCTGTCAATGACTCAAAAGGTAAATGTACAAAGAAATATATGCTTAAAATTACAAATATTACAACCACAATACAGATGATAAGATAAAACATACACCCATAGATGTTGAAGCATTGAAAATAAATAAAAAAAGATTACTCCACAAAACTCAGAGAAAAAAAAAATATACTAGTATCAGGCAGTTGATTAGGAATGTGTCACTTTGCTCCTCAGCTGGCTAAGTGGCTGGGGGAGTTGTTAAACATACTGTGCCACATATATGCTCTCGAGAGAACCATTTCGAGTTCCTGGTGTGTCCAGTTTTGAGTGGGAAGGTGTTGCAGGAACATCACCATTTCTTGGAAATCAAGCTTCTGAATTTTATCTGACCACTGAAAAGAAAAACAAGAAAAGAGGAACTGTTTCGTGGTTAACGCTTTTTGTATTCTCTTTTGGGAGGAAATTTCATGTTTTGTTTTCTTTTTAAACAAAGATTCTGCTTATCTAGTACCTAGTTATTTTTCTTTTTTAATATTAGTACCTAGTTATTTATACAGACAACTAGGAGAGCAAAGAAAATCTTTTCTTAGACTCTCTACTAACAAATATTTGTTATGGAAATAAATGTTGAAAAGGAATAAGCATAGGATTTTGAGGAGCATAAATTGACAACTATTAGAAAGTTTTATGAAAAGTAGCACTCAATTTATTGAAAAAGAAAAGCATTAAACATGGTTCATTTCAGCTCAAACTTTATCTATCTATTTAAGCATGAAAGAAGACCAACCCAGAGAACAACTTAAAAGTTAATATCGAAGTGCTGTGAAAATGAGGATGTCTCTCACCGTTAGAAGAAAACTAGTAAATATGTACACAAGGAAATCTGGCAATGCATCTCCTTCAGCAAGATACGTGTCCCACAGGCGCGTAACAAGATGGAAAGGAATCTGATAAAGCAAAATATATCATCAGTTTCTACATTTAAAAATGAAATTGGTGAATGACAGAACATTGTACAGGGACTTCCAGTAGAGATCCAAACCTCACGAATCAAAAGACAATTAAACCAGCGAAAAGCAAACTGAAGAAATTCAAGCCCTTGCTCATCCATGTGTTTTGAAACAGGCTCTG